GAGCCCTGTATTGGACTGGTTCTTCAAGTTAGAGTCATTCCCAAGAGCAAGAAAGCCAAAATGCATTCTGCAGAGCTAAGAAAACACAGGGTGATCTGGTATCATACAGAGTGAGACCTAAACAGGAAAAACATCCCTTGCAGGTTAAGACAGACCAGGATAAGTTCGTGTTTGCCCTGTGCAGGTTAAAGTTTCAGCTCGCAGTTAAACAATGAGGTCCTATGGCGAGTCCTTACAAGTCAAGTTTCTGTTAATTAATAGCAAGTTCCTGTTTCTTAGCTCTTGTGTAAGCTGCTGAACATGTTTTCAACCTACCATGAACTTGTGACCACACTCACACTCCTGATCCTTGTTCCTTCCCTTCCGTTGTATTTTTCTAAAAATGTATAACTATTCAGGTTGACTCTCTTGCCTCTGGGAATACCTTCTCTCTCCTGTAAAAAGGACTTCATGAGGCCACCAGGGGTTGCTCTCTTAAATCCTGACTTAGGGTGAGACAACCAGCTGGCCAGTCCCTTGGGCACCCAAAATGCAGCTTGCTTTAATCGGACAGTTGTAGATTTGGTTCTTTCTCCTCAGGATGCTCAGATTTACAACATTATGTTTTCTTCCTGACCATAAAGACCAGATAAAAAAGCAAGAAGTAAAAATTTTTATTTGCAGAGCTGATGATGACATTTTTCACAATACTGTGAAGTATATGCTTCTTTTTAAAAATAATATATAACAATTCAGAAGCCAAGGCCCCTATTTCAATAAGATTATGCTCTTGAAGTGTGTGGAAGAGACATCTCATTCTTCTGTATGTGCTCACTCTCTCTAGTTTTAGATGGGTGTAATGTCACCTAGGATATAGGCTCTAGTGCCCAGCTTTCCTTGCAGCAGAGTTTTTGTACATCAAACTTTGACAAATGATGTCAGAAGAAATGCCATTCAGCCAGCTTCTGAGACTTGTCCCTAAGTGGAAGGAACACCATCCTTTGTGACTTTACCCCCTCCTTGGCTAGAATTAGAAAAGTACAGACATAAACTTCCACAGACATTTTGAATGTTGTTACAGTTTGAGAAGGGTAGCCACAAAGGATGGCTCAAGGAAAGGTCAAGATCTCTAGGAAGCCCACGTGCCAATCTCTGCTGATTCTCTCTGAGTAGAATATTAGGATATGAAGAGGAAGAGGCAGCTATGGTAGTTAAGTCATTGTCTTTTTGTTGTTAGTGTTGGTGATGGCAACGGTCATTGATGGTTCAATGTGGTTCTCTATAAAAGCCAATTCTATGAGGAAAACCACCTAGATCACCAATTTCTCCAGACTAGTTCTTTTCAACTCTGAAGAGGAAGGGGAAAGTGTGCTCTTGGTGGAAAATGATCCAGCGTTTTTCACTCAGCTAACACAAAAGAAAAGGTGAGGTAAGGACTGGGCCTGTGCAGAGCAGGTGAGGTATCTTCCACTTCCATCCCCCCCCCCCCCCCCCGTTTCTCACCCTGACTTCTGCTCTTTCCCCTCCCTTTCTTCTTTTATTCGGGTAGCTCTCGAGGTCAAGCCAAAGCATTGCATGGAGTCTTTGAACATTTCAGTTTTTAAACATTTCGAATTTAGTAGAAGTCATGCCTTTTGTATGAATGCAAGTTCAAAGAAAACGATTAATTCTCTGTGGGCACCGTTTCTTCCACCCATCCCCGTGTTTAAGATTTTTCAACCTTGTAGAAGTGGCAATTTTTTTTCAGACAGTAAAGAAATGCTACTCACAAAAAAATGTGTATTCTTTCCTATTTTTCCACTTTTGGGAGTTTTTATTTTTTTTTCCTTTTTGTAAATCAATAAGTACTTTTTAAAATGTTTAAAATATAACCACCCCTTTCTGAGTGGTACACTATTTAGTGACAAAAGGAGTAGTAATATTTTGCCATTGGTTTTGCTTTTGGTCTTGATTTGTTGTCTTACTTATAACAAATATTTAAATTTGACTTCTAGACACTTTCAAAGATTCCTTGACTCCAAAATGGTACAGGCCATTTGTATATTGAAGGAATATTGTTTTAAGTTCAGAAATTTAAGGTTTCTGTGTCTTTAAGACAGGTGGGCATGCATGAGCTCAACACTAGTGCCAGAAGTTCAACAGTCACTGAAGCCAGCAGGGCCACACCAGAAGCCAGAGTCCTTTTGCTTAGGGGAATGAACTCAGGCTAGGAAAGCAAGGGCTCTGGGGCCCGACAGTGCCACCTAGTGGCCGCTTTCAAAGACCCACGTTTTGTATCATTGGGCTTTGCTCATCACTTAGGGCTGGTCCATCACTATATTAATGCCATGCTGGAGTTAGTTCAGTAGCATGCAAACGCTTATCTTGGGATTGGTTGTAACTGAGCTGCCTGTGACCCGTCCATAACACATCAGTTTGCTTGTACTTTTTCCTACTTTACTCAGCCATCCCTGGAAAAATAGATACTGTTTTGGTCTAAAACATCAAGTCAGAACACCTGAATTCTAATCAACTGTAAACTTTCTCCTAGTTCGTTATTAAAGTGATTCACAGTGGTATTTGTTTCAAAAAGTTCTCACCCAGGATGTTTTGCATAATGAGACCATCTTGGGATCATCATTAAAAAAGGGGGTAAAATGAAGGTCTATTTAATCTTGGCAAGACTCTAATTTTCAGAGATGAAAAGTGCAATTTTGGTTTTTATTCATTACTCAAGTTAGTGGTCATGACCAGTTCCCTCATCTTTGAAACATACATTTTATTTAATTCTAATGGAGATGAATTTCTGTTATCAGGAGCTCATTGGATGAAGCAGGCAGGCAGCTCCCTGCCCTATCTTGTCAGGTTCAGCTACTGAAAAGCTAGCTACTGCTTTTACATAGAGCTATGGGAATAGCAAAGCTTTTTTTTTTGCCCGAAGGAATAAGGAAATTAGTTAATATTTTGCTAGAATAAGGTGCTAAATTGTTTTCTGAACAAGTGAACAAACAATGTTCAAGATTTGGAGAAGTGTGGAGACACATTTTTTAGTTTTGGAGATGCATCCACTCCCTTCACACAGCAGGTGGAAGGGAGGCTAAGATCCTTGGGGAGTACGTCTTCAATTTTTCTCTGGTGTGCACTGCTCTGTGCCCAGGGCATTTTGTGTCTGAGAATTCTCTAATCTTTTCATTCGTCTGCTGGCTAACTTTTGCTGGTCTTGGAACATGTTTGGAAACTTCAATGAATAAGCTGGAGGCATCCCAGCTTCCTGTGTTACCACATAATGTAGCAGGAGGCCCCAAGGAAAGGGTCATTCACTCAAAAGAAGGCATGGACCATGATTGACAAGGCTTGGTGCCAAGGGGTTCAGAAACAAGACTTTGGCTTGGTGTCATTCTTTCATTTCCTGCCACAATCCTGGGCTCCTAGCCCCTCAGTTGCAGAACTGGAGTTTGATGGCATCATCTTTCAGGTTTCAAGAGCTCCTTTTCATTTAGAATCTAGATTTATTCTGTAGGCTAGAACTCAGTGAGTGTTAGTGTTCGCTGACTTAAAGGACATAGCCTAGGGGACTTGAACTTAGAGGCATTAGGGTCAAGGTGACTGCATTAAATTCTCATCATTAGCAGATGATTTATGTACATAAGAGGAAGAAGGGGGAACAGAGAGACTCAAGAAACATGCAAAACTTTGCATCAATTCCAGTGGTTTATGGGTGTCTTAGAGATACTTGAGCCACGCTGGACCATCTTTGGAGCAAACAGTGAACAGACAGAAGCTTGACAGAGGGGAAAACTTCATTTTCATGTGTATACAAAAGGAACCAAATGTATTTCCACAAGGGAACCAATGGAGAGACAGAAAAACATTGATGCAAGACAGACAAGGGCCTGTTTTACATTGTGAGCAAACAGTTAAAACCTTAGTAGTGAGAACCAACTCAGGTCTTCTGTATCCAATTGGCCTTGCCACAATGTCTGGTCAGAACCAGATGGGATTACCATTTGAATCAGCAGACTAACTCAGGCACAGTGCAGTTTATAATGTGGTATGTTCTGGGGGTCAACGGTATCACGGTGACTGATTGGAAGGGGGCCTAAGGGAGGGTTCTCGAGTTCCAGACATGGTATGTATTTTGGTTGAAGTGTTGGTTGCTTAGTTTGTGCAGTTCTTAAAATCAGTTGCATGCAAAACTTAAAAATGAATTTCACCATGTGTACATTTTTTTTTAAATTTAAAAAGCCCCCAGATTATTTTTTCTAAGATGGACCGTTTTTTCCCCCCTTAGAAAATTAGGTTTCCCACATAATTTTTTGGGATGGATGGGAAAATGAAAAATTGATGTAAATATTTTCTTTACAGGTTTCTATAGAGAATTCCATAGTGTTTGTTTCCTTTGAATATCCTCAAAGTTCCTGGCTGCAGATTTATGGTTGTGGTTTCTATCCTGCAGCCCTTGAGCTGTGTGTTTAGGTCTGACATCAGTGTTGGGAGAGAAACAAAGAGCAGAAAGTAAAAACATCAGAGTCAGCCAAGCCCCCTCTACAGGGGAAGGACCTGCATTAATCTTTTCCTTCCTTTCGTATTCACAATACATGGGAGCACACACATCTCAGAATACTGCAAGAATAAGATATACATGAATCTAGAAATTTAGATTGCTATGATATTGCTGTGGGGTCTTCAGAAGTAGAGTTGTTGGCGTCTGTTGTCCGTGTCTGATGTCGTTTAAACAGTGACCCATACTTAGTTTGAAAGTTGGATCCAGTTTTTGTGCAAGATGCCACAGGTCTACCCTCGTGTCTGATGCCCACAGGCACTGTGTGTTTACACAAACCCATTATCCTGGCAGGGTTCAGCATCCTGCACTTCCCATGCACCTCAGCAACACGGACAGTCAGTCCCCTTTAGAAATAAATGACTTGGAGAAGATTTTCACAGATTTTTTTTTTTTTTTTTCATTTGCATGCCTCAAGTTAAATACTGTTTAAAAAAATTGAAAAACCATTCTTTCTTCCTCCCTTTTTCTTTTCTTTTTTGTAATTTACAAGTGCTCATATAAGAAGATGACTAAAAAAATACCCACCCAAACACCCAGAACGCATCTAGCAAACAATGCTAATGTTACACAGGCTGAGACCAAAGACCTCGCAGCTCGGTGTTCGCTGGCCCGCAGGGGTTGCAGTCCTGCTGTGTGGGAGGAAGGTGGCGCTGTGGGATCCCCAGTGCCAGAGGCCAGTGCTTCTTTGTTCCCTAACGCAAGTCCAGGAGCTGCGTTTCAGAGTCAATGCCATTACTTATTTCGACCTGAAAAAGAAAATATGAATTGCTTAAAGAACTTCAGTGCCGATAAATGAAAAGCCTGTCCCTTTTTTCAGGCCTTTTGAAATGCAAAGCAGTTTAGGGTGGACCCGCTGCGGTCTGGCTTGCTGGCAGCTAGGACACCTAGCTCAGCTTGCCTGCTTTCAGATCAGCTTGTGGCCAGGGCAATGCAGATGGGGAGGCGGCCTGACAGCCACAAAATTGTGGGATGAAATGGATTCCCTGCCTCAGAGGGGAAGGCAGTACATATCCCCAATTCACTAGCCACACCCCCATAGCCTCTTCCTAATAGACTGTTAAAGGGCATCTTGGTCTGAGACAAATCATGGACCCGGCTCCATTTTGCCTTGGTCACTGTGCCCAAATAGTTGGTGGGAAAAAAAAAAAAAAAAAATCGCCTATGCCTGGCAGTGTCCTTCAGATGAGACTGACATTTAAGTCAATAGACCAAGTAAATCATAATTTGGCCCGCAGTGTGGGTGAACCTCGTGGGATCAGTTGTAGCCTCACCACATGAAGAGCGGTGTTTCCTGAGGAACCGGCCCAGTGTGAACTTGCCAGAACCCATCACTGCATGAGCCAGTTTCTTAACATCCCTCTCTCCCAACTCTCTCCTCTCTCCTCCATCTTTTTCCCTACTCCCTGCCTCACCTCCTGCTTTCCCTTCTGTCTTCTTTCTCCTCTCCCTCTCCAGCACCTCCCCTCCATGCCACAGATGTAAATTTCACCTCTCTGGCAAACGAGAGCGCTGTACCTTCCTACATTAGTCGTCCCGTTGCCCGCGTTTTGAGCAGGCTGTGCACATTGCTTCTCTTACAGCCTTTGGAAAGAGAGCATCTGGATGAATCGGATGACTTCCCTCCCCAAATCATCACAACCATCATAGCCACAGAGGCTGCTTCACACTTATTTCACACCCCTGTCTAGAAACTTCCTTTCCATGAGCTCACTTCAGTGACTCGATGGCTTGGAATGGACTTTTCAGTCATGATTTGAAATAGTTCTTTAAAACAATCTCTAACTTTTCTTTTCTTTGCTTTATCCTCTTTTGGCGCCTCTCTTTTCCCGGCAAATGCTGTTCCCCCTGCACACCCCAGGAGCCCTGGTTCCTCCGGAATCATCCTGTGGCATTTACTTTACACTTCTACTTCTCTGGATTCTGAATGCCAAGCCACCAAGTCTCATCCTTTCCCTTTGCAGTTTAACAGGGATTCCCATGGAGGGATAAAGAGATTATAAAAATGTAATTTTATACTTTCACCCAGTCTTAAGTTAGCAGGAAGAGAGCAGCTTCTAAATATTGTTTCTCTGTGAACACATGACGCTGGTCTCAGTGAGGCAGCGGAATGCAGTTACTGTACCTAGCCAGTGGGAGCCAAAGATGGCACCGCATAGCCCTGACACAGTGAATTAGCTGGCCCAGTGACACAGTGCCTGGGCCAGCACAACCTGCCTGAACATAAGACTTTGTCTACTTCCTAGTCTTCATCACCACAGTACTTAATAATATTTAATAGACATTTCATATCTTATTTCTCTACTTATCTAGAAAGGTTTCATCATAGTAGATTTGTTGAAATGAAAATATACATTATATTTGACCATTGTGTCCCCTCAAGCTATCTTATTACTAATTTCTCACAATTAGTTTTTTTTTCTTACTTTGTTATGCATATCCAGATTTGACTCATTCTACTACAATAGTAGTTCAATGTCAGGCTGGACTTTACAAATGGGCACCTTGTAAATGGTGGTGTGCTTTTCTTACATGGCACATCTAAGAAAACAGAATATCTGGTAGTCTAATTTTTAATATAGTAAGTGAACAATGGGTCTCTGTATTGATTTTGGATCCTTAAAATCATACTCCCCCCCCACCTCCACTTGTAATTAAGTACAGAAAGTTCAGCCACAGCCTGATGAACCCTGCTCCATAGAACAAGCAGAAGAGAAGACAATGATGCTAATCCAAAGGATCCTTGGGTCCATATTCCCGGTAGGCTTGCAGGGATTTCTTTTTCTATTTGTTTTCTAGGTTTCTTGTATCTGGTGTGTGTGTTTGGGTGTGTGGTCTACCCTTGTTTCTGTTCTTTCTAATGTCTTTTTTTTTTTTTTTTTTTTTTTTTTTTTTTTACAGCTTTGAAATAGTATTTTCAGTGTAAACATAAGCCCAGGTGGTGGAAGTAGGGAAGATTTTTACGAATTATCTTCAGACCTCCATATGTCTGCGATAGCACACAAGCAACATGCACACAGGTTAAATTACTTTTAAAAGATAAATGTTTGGCATGAGTGGGAACTTTATTCATGACCTAAAGTGCCTTGTTAAAAATGGTTTCGAACAGAAATACGAATTTGCACAGTAAGCTGTGGCCTTATATTTGAAGCAGCATGGTAATCCCTTCAGTTGGGCAATGTGGTGGTTTGAAATTGGAAATGGCCCTTGAATGGAGTGGCACTATTAGGAGGTGTGGTCTTGTTGGAGGAAGTGTGTCACTGTGGGGGTGGGCTTTGAGGTCTCCTTTCTCAAGTTTCACCCAGTGTGACAGTCACCTTCCTGTTCCTGGAAGAACTCTCAGCTCTAGCACCATAGCTGCCTGCATGCTGTCATGCTCCCTTCAATGATGATAATGGACAGAATCTCTGAAACTGTAAGGGAACAACCCAAATTAAATGTTTTCTTTATAAGACTTTCCATGGTCATGGCGTGTCTTCACAGCAATACAAAACCCTAAGACAAGAAAGGACTGGGTTTTACAAAGTGCCAGGAGCAGAGAATGAGGTTGCATTTTACAATGTCCCATGAAAGGTTGACGATGTCCCCAGGGAGAATTAGGATAGTTGACTGACCTTCAGTTGTAGTGACCACATTGAACTCTTTTACATCTGCAGTATTGGTGACATCCTTACTTTCCAGTGAGGACAGCGGTACATAGCCTATTATAATGATCAAACTATCTATATCCAAACTCAGCATTTCACAGAATGGCTACATATTAGCATATGATCTTATGGTAGCCCTAACATTATGTAACCACTTCATATAATCCATCAGAAAGTCACCAAATGCCAGGAAGATGCAAAGAGATCCCAAACCAGAGAGCACAAGGAACTGAGACACAGCTGTTACTGTGTTAAGAAAGGTATGCCTACAGGGAACCTGGGTGAATGTGTTGTAGTTGTAGTGCCCTTGAGGTGGTTCCCGAAGGGTAGGATCTCTCAAAGTGTCTTCTGTTTTCAAGGGCTAATGGTGGCTCTCAGTGAGTGGGACAGCCATCACTAGGAGCAACTCTCAGTTTGAAGGGCCCAGATCCTCACCCAGCCCCCTACCTTGGCAGCCATGACAGGCTGCAGAAAATATCCAGCAAGATGTAGGCCCCTGACTCATCAGCATGTGCTGATCAACTGACCTTGCCTGACCTTGCCATAGTCACTAGGAAGGCATGTGGCAAGGAACCAATCAGTAGTTGGGGTTGGGGGAGGGCTCTGGATAGGCATTACTGATAACAATAGGATGCAGGCATAGTAGCTGCCATGTGATGGCCTCTAGGCATAGCAACCTTCCTGCAGCTACAGCTGACCAATCAACTCAGGACAGGTTGTCCAAGCCTGGAGGTGCACCAATCATGAGACTGTTGCTACGCAACTAGCAGACATCCAGACACTCCCCTTGCTCTACCCCAATATATGCCCTGCCCCACTGCTGCTTGAGGTCCCACCTGCTTCACCCAATGTGTATGATGGATGGGGGAATCAAGTTAATTCGTAAAATTAAAGACTCTTTGCTTTTGCATCAGATTGGGTCTCTTGGTGATTGGGGAGGTGGTGTTCTGTGTGCCACAGGGACAGAGCAAGCAGATTCTATGTAGCTCAACACACCCTCTTAGTAAAATAGTAAACTGGGACAGACCATCTGGAATGAGTGCAGACAACAAAGGCTAGTTATCACTCATTCATCTTTAGTCTATTACAGCCACTGCTGCCCACAATTACCCAGTGAAAGTTCTTCTTTTATTATATTGTTTATTCCTTAAACAATTTTAAATTTAAATGCATTATGATCATATTCTTCCCCTTCCCCAAGTCCTGGCAGATCTTCCTTCTCTCCTTACCCACCCAACTTTAAATCCTTTCTCGAACAAACAAAAAGCCAATATAGCAACAAAATCCCCAAATCAGGAAGACAAAGAGGAACATCATCCCAAAAGAGGAAAACCAAAACAAAACACCCAAATAAAACTGTAACCAAATAAAAGCACACAGAACAACTGTGGAGTCCATTACATGTCAGTCAACTACTACTGAACAGGAGGCCTTCCCTGAAGGCCCTGATATACCCAGTGTGACTCCATTGGAGAAAACTGATTTTCCCTCTCCCAGCAGGTATAAATAACACTTCAGTGGTTAACTGTTACCCTAGTGGCAAGGTATTCATTCATTCATTCAAAAACAAATAACAAGTGGTAAGTATTGAGAAAACCACCCATTTCTTTCAGCTATTCTCATTTGGTGGAATACAGGTACTTACATCATGTCATTATAATTTTCTGGATTTACTCAGTGTCTGCTTTTATGTCTTCCTTTTAATTTCTAATTTTATTAGTTTGTGGATATTCTCTCTGCTTTTTTAGTTAATTTTGATAAGGATTTGTCAATCTTATGTTCTCAAAGAGCCATTGGTTCCTCGTATTTGGTTTGTTTGTTTTTATTCTTGTCCTCTCCTCCTTTTTCTTGATTTCTTATTTGTGTTCTAGAGCTTTCAGGAATTCTTTTAAGTTGCTAGTATGGTATCTCCATTTTTTTTTTTTTTTAATGAACTTGCGTCCTAGCACCACCTTCATTGTGTCCTATAAGTTTGAATGTTCAAGTATGTTGTGTATTTTCTTTCTTTTTTGATTTTTGTTCCAGACATGTTTATGTAACAGCTTTGGCTGTCCTGGATCTTGTTTTGTAACCAGGCTGATCTTGAACTCACAGATATCTTC